GACTTTTTAATGACTCGGTGCTTGGTTCCGGGTTTTCGGTTGTCTATGCAGGTTGTTGGGAATTCCCATTTGCTATTTTAGGTAACACCGTAACGCAAGGTTATTTAAGATTTAAATTATGTATTAAATGTTTTGTTTAAGTATTAATTATACTCCTTGTCAAGTAAGATGTGTAATTTACGCGAGTGGTACACATTTATATAAACACTTGTAACGGTTAAAAACGCAACATATATTATTTCGCTTTTTAATTTAAATTTACCCGACGTTTTGGATGCTTTACAGCAACCGTGCTCACGGTGGGGATGGGTCGTTTTTCATACTGCTTATTACGCGTTTTAATCCGTTAAAAGTGTTTTATTTAAAACTTTATCAACTTCAAAATTTAAAATAAGATCCAAAGTTTAATCATATATGTTTGGCTGAATATTAAATAGCATTACTTAATATGTGCGATACACAGTTCTGTGTCCGTTTGATTCTTCATTATATTTACAGGTAGGTCCTGCATGCTTAAATTATTTGTTATTTAGTGGATACACTTTAATGATTTTTTATTTTAGTTTTTATACTTATGTACTTATAAATTTTAATGGGAGATAAAAATCAGGTGTTTATTAAAACAAAAACCGAGTGAGTAGGTACAGGTCTAGTGTATTTAACTAGTTATTAATGTTATTAGTAGAAAAAATGAACTATCAAATCATCCATGGTTCACTTCCACTACTGCATATGTAATGTTTCTTCGTATTAACGTCTATATAAAGAAGCCATGAAGCCATGAAATATGTGAACCACGCACAGCTTGGAACCTCTTAGGAGTCATGCCAAGATCGCCGATATGCTGATAACACATCGCCACACGATTCTGAATAAAATTTATTATAAAAACTTTGCGAATCTTTTTGTATCATAAAGTTAACGGAAGGTGTAACTAGACCAGATCCGTTTATCTATATCCTTATTAGAAGGACATAGAAGCATATAACGTGTATAGAAGACGCGCTGTCGACTTTATTTGGGTTTGGATATTCAGAAATTCACAGACTGAAACTTCACGATGGTTCGCGTCCAGATTCCCAAACGAAGTCAGTGTCAGAAAAATTATTAATTGGTTAGAAAAATTTTGGACGCTCTGGGCATCGAATCCACAACCCGTTGATTATTTGCTATACAGTGCTACACCAACGAGTCTGGATCTAATGTTGCGGTAATCAAACCCGTGATAGTTTTTATGTCAGGACTCCAGTTTGAACCACCCTATTAATAAGTAGACTGAATCTATGTCAACTCCAGCGCAGTAGATAACCAAGCATGTCCATTTTATAATTACACCGGACGACGCTAAATATATCTCGAGTACTAGATAAAATTCTATAAGGGTTTTATTGGGCGATAAAGCAAGTTTATTGTTGAAAATGTTAATTATTATCAACAGTGATTGTCTTATGGAAAATTACGGTTAGAGTGCTTGTGGAAACTTCGTGACACGTGGAATGACGAAGGGAATCAACTACAATGCGCGAAATAGCTGATGTAAGACAGGGACGGACGTATAATAATGTATGGCGAATAGTCAACGAGTAGTGGATTAGATTTTTTCCTAAAATACGCTGGACTTCGTCTGGAAATGAATATCGATATTCCATCCGGGTTACGAACCAAAGTACACAGATAAAAATACGTCAAATGTAATCGTGTTTCGAAAGCATCCGACACGTCGGGCCATTGTTATATACCTATATCTAATATATTTCACGCTTTAAACCGTTAAAGTGTTTTATTAAAACTACAGGCAGTATTTAACTGTTTTTCGGTTATAATAGGCTGACAGCGCATCTTGTTATAAGGCTGCTTTTCTGTCCTTCTTTATCGTGAATAAGGAATAGTAACATAAGTATAGATGAGTGATAATGAGATTTTTTAGTTTCTGGATTTTGGGTTCTAATAAATGTAAAAAAAGGGACATTATTGTGCAATGTATTTTACATATTCATACACCAATCAAGGCGGCACCGCCAGGAATCTAACCCGCGACTCAACAAACACGGGACCGCAAGGGGAGACTGTTTGCAGACGCATATAAATTATAGGGGAGACGCGGGCCCAGACTGAACAGTTTCATCTGGGTTACGGGGGACGCTCGCACTTTTAATTTCACATTCAAATATTAATGGATTTAAACTTGAGAGTCACAATTCAGAGCTTAACATTTTTGGATATCGTCTGTACTCGAGTAGTACACGTGAAACGGTTTAAAACGTGAAATAGTAATAAATAGAAGTTCGTGACCAATCTGCAAAGTATCCAAACCGTTGGGCCATAGTTTATTGTTATTAAGTTGACTAATATATTTCGCGTTGTAAACCATTAAGTGTTGTTTTTATATGTGTCTTATACGTGTTTAATCAATCTTTTTAGGGTGCCTATAAAAGAGAATTCGATTTTAAAGTCTCAACGCTTATATTTAGATACATTTGACATTCCTGTTCTTATATCAGTACTGTGGAGTTAAGTAGAGGCATAAAAAAGTAGTCGAAGTGCAAAAGCTAATACAGAGACTTGAAAAGATAAAAAGGTTTCTTTGAAAAGCCTCCCTCGATTGTTTTGCATTGTAATAGAAAAACGTGGCACTTATTGTTTGCATACATCCAAAATTAAAACCATTCATTTTATGCAAGTTAACAAAGTGAAAATGCGGTCAAATTTTTCTATACGAAATAAAAGTGGATGTAATCCGACGAAAGCGAGCGACCCCGAAATCGCTGCCAGCATTCACCCAGACAAAAGCTCTAAACACCCCGATGGCAAAAAGAAAATTTCCATCCCCTCCTTCATTTAAATTTCCCGCCCAGAGCGGGGCGGCGACGTGGGGGTGGCTTCCGCACAAAAGAGACGCAGCTTAACTTTCATAGAAAAGAATGAGACGACCGTATGTCCACCTGTTGCGTTATAAGTTTCATATTTTCGCGTTATCTTTTTTCTTTTCTTACATAAAAGGATTTGAATGGCGCGCCGCGTGCATGCGTACTAGGCTTAGGTATCGAACGGTATTGATGCGGCGTTCGAATTGACAGGTTCCAAATTTGAATTCAAATTTTGTTTAGAATTTGTCTGAGTAAATATTTTTGAATTTAGAACAGTAGGTATGTTGTTCTAAATTCAAAAATATTAGTATATCGTTCGTGAAACATTAACTTAAATAACTCAAGGTGTTCATACCAAACGTCACTTTAAAATCTTTTAATATTAATAATTAGTATATATATTGGTTTCACAGTAAATGTATTAATTTTGTACGAAAATAATGTTTAAACCATATTCACATCATGTACCTAATGCAAAAATGATTTAATCCAATTTTGTAATTAATTTTCCTTGTAATATACGCCATCTCTCGAACGCCAACATAAATTAACAGAGAGAAACAAATTTTGTTATCATGAAGATTATTTTTAGCTTGCACAGATAATAATTATCGTTTCTTGTAACCAGCAGCGGTTCAGGATGAAGACAGAAATAAAAATTTGTTTGTATTACCGTTTCCGGTTGGTCTTGGGTTCGACGACGGTGCACGTGCTATCGTTATTATATAGATATAATAAAACGGATTTTATTACCGTGTTCATATTTAAATTCACTATAAAAGCAGCGAAGAACTTATTTGAATAAAGACGAATCTCCCTGTCAGTTGTATCAAAGCGTAGATTTGCCACTATAAGTTTGTAGACTTGTAAAACTTGGCGAAAAGAGTGGCAGCGAGTTTTTTGACAATTCATATTATCCGTTCTACGTCTTTAGTCAACACATTTATCACTTAAATTGTAGTAACGTTTTATTAAACATTAATAAATAGCTGTTTTTAAATTAAGATTACCTAAACCACGAAAAAGGTTGACATTATATCAAAAATATTTTATAATAGACATTTAAAAATGACAATTGTTTCATCGCTTCCTAATAAAGTACGTAAGTAAATTTCCCTTGTATATCGCTTTATTTATAGACACGATCAATCATGTACTAATGCTGTGGTTTAGAGGATTACTACAAATCTGCGTTCAATCTTTTTTGGTCAGTATGGCCAAGCCTTTATTGACAAGATAAAAAAGTGTAAGTGTACAATACTCGTATACGACGTCCGATATATCGGATCGATCGGCAAACATGGTGGGTTTCGACAATCAATCTACAAATATCGTGAAATTACAAAAAAAAATGTTAATGACTATTTTAATACACTATTTAAGAGTTTCCCACTAGAATTGTTTTCACTTTTATGAATAAGTCTGTAAACAATAGCATTTGACATAAAAAAAATATTTTTTTTTAAATAACTGCTGTGTTATCTGAAACACTAAACTAATATTACTACATACCTAATCAATGACGATTAAAGCCAGTTAGTCGGCAATCTAATAGCGGCTAATAATAGTCACAACAAAACCCACGACACCGATACGACGCGACGACGACGTTACGACATCGTGTAAACAGTGTCCTTTAATAAAAATGACAATACGTTATATCGATAGATAAGATGAGATTCACAAGGTACATGATTTAATGTCGTGTTTCTTTTATATCAAAATAATGGACATGTTGACAGGCTTAATCGAGAAATCACGTGACACTGTATTTGGAATTATCGCAATTCCTCGATATCTCTGAAGGGCGTTTGCAATTTCTTTACGTAGTTTCAAATTATCGTTCTATTTTTGAAACGATTATTTTGTACGCTGTTAAGTATACGTTTTAGTTAGTAAAGCATTCAAGGTCCTTGCTGAACACGCAGGAAGTAATTGAACGCCAGGCAGACCGAGGTTCCGCTGGTGGGCAGTTATTAAGAACCTGGAAATCTTGGGCGTCCAGATCTGGGAGCACAGGATTGATCGCGATGGCGGAAGCGACTAGAGGAGGTTAGGGCCAACAAGGGTCTCTACAGCTATTGACGATGATGGAGTTCGCTCAACGTTGATACGATTATGTCAAAGACTTACCATTGAGACCGGCAAGGGGTGCGCTCCACCGTTGGGGTAAGGATAAGGTGCCATGAGGTAGCCCATGTTGAAGCCGGCTGCTGGATGCGGCTCGAATTTACCTGAAAACAAAATATAGTAAGTTAAGTAACTCGCGTAAACTAAAGATAATACTGAAATATATAGTTTAATTGTTTATTTATTTGTGTACTATTCGTGTAAACTACAGAGTATTTATTTAAGTATAATCTTATAGTCTACGCGAGTAGTACACATTTAAATCAAACCCTTTTAACGGTTTAAAAAGCGAAATATATTAGTTCTCTTGTGTTTTATATATTTAAACTACTTCTAGACATTTCGAATGCTTTGCAGTAACTGTGGTCACAGGACGATGTTTCTAATATCAAAACCAAATCTGCTACGCTAGCGCACTCTGTTCCGTTATTGTTGTGGAGACAAAATATAGTTTCTTTAGAAGCGTCGATACTTTTAACCTATTATAAAAACCATTTCTACCTAGAAATAAATAAAACGGTTGAAACACTTACGAAATTCTGCGTTTTAAACCGTTATATTTTCTTAACAACCCCAACTACATAGTTTCCTTGGCTAGTGCGTATCTTTTAAGCACACTGAAACGGAACTGTAAGCACATTATCGAGAACGTCTTAGGGTAAGTGACCCTTGTTATGTACCAATAACGCATAGAGAACAGATAAACCTTATCCTACTCCTGATGTGATCTAGAACAAAAAGTCACGTTTGCATAGGCTCTTGTTTTCAAGATGTTTCAGTCTATAGATTGATCACCAATTTTCATTCAATGTACCTATACAAATGATTTAAAATGATGTTTCTTAGCGGTCAAACATCTTATTGATATAACATAAATAAAATAAGTAAAACACTTTTAACGGTTTCAAACGCGAAATATATTAGTTGATTTATTTACAATTTATTTTAACAACGGCTCGATGTTTCGGATGTTTTGCAGCAGCCGTGACCCTGTGAAAATAAGCAATAATATATTCCGCGTTTTAAACCGTTAAAGTATTAAAATTAAATGTATATCAAAGATGACTTAAATTAGCTGTGGATCACTGGTGTTCTATAACCGCGGGCGACAATGAGTAAATGAAAAAGGTAATGTAAATTAACTTTTAGGTAGATCACTTGCAAAAATTAAATAGTTATGATATGTTTTATGTACGCAACTCTATCTATTACGTCGCACCATTGTGCAAAAAAACTAAAATATTTCAAGTTTTAAACCGTTAAAAGCTAAATGTTAACTACATATAAAACTCAATTAATTTTCTTTCAACACACTATACAACTTGTAACTGTAAGTTGATACCGAGCAGGATTTTAATTGAAAATATTTCCTTCGGAACTAGCTATGTTTAATTTGTACAGCGCAATACGCGAATAAAAATGTGGCCATAGCTGCAGAGAATAATACTAGGGCAGAGTCATTTAGTTGTGTAATTGCGCGACTAGAGCGTTACGTCGCTGTATATTATAATATGCGGAGGTTTTGTCTCGTGGTGGAATAAATGGGGCACGATTCTTATGAGTTTTCTAGGTGACAATTTTAAGAAGCACTATGTCTCCCTTTTTTATATAGGACAGACAAACGTCATACTTGATAGTAGGTGTAGTACCGCAGCCATATCTTTGGGGTTGACAACCCCCCTCCCCCCTTCTAAACATCACGTGTATTTTTAGTACCTACAAAGAATCTTAAAATTATCTTAATTTAAATACAGGTATAAACTATAATCTTATTTTATTCTGAAATTAAAGACCGTAATAAAAATGTCTACACCATTTGTTTAAAAATCGCGCGTTTGACGAAAAAATAAATACACGCGATATCTTACTATACCCCCCCCCCTGTGTTATTTTCGTGATTTTTTTTAAACCCCTCCCCCCCTTTCAAGCCTCACGTGATTAATGGACAACCCCTTTACAAGATGCGATGTCGATCTAATGTGGATATTCGTAAAATACAGACTGAAACGAGGAGCGATTAAACTTGACGACTTTTTTATGTTGGTGGCGGAACAAAATTCCAGACACAATGTTTTAGAAAAATTAGAGTTTAGTTAGATTCAGTGAGCACCGAATCCACGACTTGTTGATTATTAGCTGTATATTCGAAACAAGTCAACACTTTTGATTCTGTTTAAAAAATAGACATACATTACTTTTTAATATGTTGATATTATTTGAAAACTTTATTTTTTACATGTTATTGCACATGTAGGCACTATAATAATTTGATAATCGAAAATAAATTGAAAAAATTCGTAGTACTCGGTAGCTCAATTGGTAGAGCAACAGCATGCCGGAAGTCCGCCTGAGTCGAAAATTTTTTCAAACTACATTCGATTTTTAAATTATGTTGATATTAGAATGTTAAGTTGATGTTATTTTAAAAGAGCCATATATATATACAATACATTAAAATACAATTATGTCCCATAACCGTTATGTGGGGCATGGGACATAATCGTTTCCGTGTGCAGTTCGTTGGTGCTCTACCTGACGGAAACTTTAATATCTTCAATGCAAGTTCAAGAGCTTAGTAACTACTTGTTCTTCAAATCTAGTTGTGAAACAGACACATAAATGTGTCTGCCCATTACACTAAGGAAAAACTAGATTTAATTTGTAATCATTTAAATGAGTGTATATGATAGTTATACAATTGCCAAACTAATCGAACTTTTAAATCAATTTAAAAAAGTTTGATGACACCAACGGGACACAAAGCCACCATTTCCTTGAATTTAGGGCTGTCCGATATGCTTTTTTTAGACGCAGTGATAGCACTAGAGAGCTGACGCGACCAAAACGGAAATATGATTCTTAGTCACGAACCCAGTAGCCAAGCAGAGCCAACTAAAAACCTGTGTACATATGTATTCACTCCGGCTTTGTTTATTTAGGCTGGACCTACCGCCGCTACACAGAAACGAACCACATCCTTACGATTCCCACTATTCATCCATCGCTTTTCAGCGTTTTTTGATCGATTCAACTAAATATGAGTGGAAATATTATATTAAAAGTTATTAATTTTATTATTTTTATTAGGTTGGGTTGGCACCAACTTATTGTATTAGATTTTAATGCTAAAATACAAAAAACACATTTATATCGAACCCTGAATATATAACGGGCTCAATACAATACACATAATATTATTTATTGTCACAAAACAAAACAATAAAAACAAGGATAGGAATTAAGGACAAACGGCGACTTTATAGCTAAATTTAATATAAGCTATCTCTTCCAAGCAACCGTGGTAGAAATGAAAATTCAGTGATAAAAAAGGTATGCGTGACAGCAGAAAGACTTAACCTACTAAAAAACTTATAATAAACAATAATACAAAATGACCTCATGTACTATCTTAACGACTTTCGTTACCGTTGGTCTAATGTAGCAATGTATGGCTAATATATAATCAATGGGATTTCAACATGTTATTGCACATGAAGGCACTATATAATTTTAAATCAAAAATAAATTGAATTGAGAGCAACAGCACGGAACGCTGACGATGCCGGTTCAAGTCCTGCCCGAGTCGAAAAATTGTTTTCGATTTTTTTTTAAATTCATGTTGCACTTCGTCTGGAAATCTGGATATTAAATGAGTGGTAGGAATATCGAACCACCGTCCACAGATGAAAAAGCCGTGAAGTTTAATCGCATTTCGGTTTTAGTTTGTGGATTTTCGAATATCCAAGCAAATTTTATTTCACCTACCATCCGACCTCCTCTATTCTCTCTACATTAAAAAAATCAAGAACATATTATATCAAAATTAATATAAGAAGTGTGAAGTTAACTTGTTACATACTTTGGTAAATATAATCTGTCGTTATAGATAATAACTCGAACAAGTTGGGACCTACAAAGTTTTCTTATTGCATAAACATGTGTAAAAATAAAAAAGGCCGATAGCACATTATAAGTACAATTTATAACTTCGATGTAGGAAACCCCATGCTTTCCTGTCCTTTGCATTCCTAAAACTATACAGAACTAGCGGTAGAAAAAAAGGTGAAGATGACCGTCTTGTGATGTTGACTCAAGCGTCAAACACGAAGGGCAAACCCGGATAAAGACAAATGTGAGATAATAAATAATTTGCGGTCAATATCATTTTGGCACCCCTCATATTTATTTAAGATAGAAACTTTTTGTGGCACAATTTTTTGTTTCATTTTATGCAACCTTAAATAAAGTATTGTCTGAAATTGTACGCGAATAGTAGGTACACATTTAAATAACATACATAAGCAGCAATAAATACAATAATGTACCCCCCCCCCCCCCCCGTTTACTGCTGCAGCAAAAAGCATCCAAAACGTTGAGCTGTAGAAAAAATAAATTAAAAAGAAAACTTACAATTTCGCGTTTTAAGCCGTTAAATGTGTTAGTTAAATGGGATTCTAATCGATTTACTGACACAATTGTAAATAACCTAACTTACAAGTATTAAATAGATATTAACAAAATACATCCTTGATGTATATTTTATCTACTTATCTATATATACAACATGTTATGTGCAATTGTATATTTAGATTTGACATTTAAGCCGTTTCATTAAACACCCCGGTCTCATAAAGATACAGATAATGACATTATTTTTTATCTGTTTGCTGTCAATCTGTCAGTTAGGGTAACTAGATTTAGCAAAGCAAACAAACATGTAAAAAAAATTACGAATCTCCTCGCTTGATATAGTACTATAATGAATAGTCATTATTAATTATAATTTTCCACGTATGGTAGTAGAATAATTTAGTGTAATATTGTGGTATTAGCAAAAACAAAGTAATCGATTTTTCAATACAAACATAGACACAAAACTTTAAATATGATATTTAGATAGCAGTTACAATGCTTCAATACAAAAATTATTTACTATATAAGACCGCTAGAAGCAAAGTGGGCTTATAAGAAAAAAACATGATTTTCAATATATGGGGAAAATAAAAATGGGCATTTAACTTAGGCACAAATTAATTTGTACTATTATTTGTGTAAAAATTCTGTTAACAGTTATCAGTCACTGTACTCTTGTAGATTAACGTTT